ACTACGACCTTTGCCCCAGCCAGCACACCCTCCTTCCTAAACCACTTACGCTGTTCTTCTCTCCTCCATCCCCTGCTCCAATGCCTTGGACACTCTCCTCTCCAGCCAGTGCTCTCTTTGATCTAGGTTCGGGACTCCAGGCAGCAGACACACCCTGGTGACATTTCTATCTCCACTCGTATGTCTGGCAGGTGTCTCAGAATTGACAGTGTCAAGACCAAATGTACTCCCCAATCTGCCCTGTTAATCCCTGCTTCTCATCCTTGTCAAGGGCAGCATTCCGTTTTTAACTAGGGAAGACCTTAGCTTTGTGCCATGCTCCTTCCGCCGGCCTTCATGCCCAGGCGCACAGGAAATCCCATGGACTCTGGCTTCAAAGCCTAGCTTCTAGAAGCTTGGCTTCTCACCCTTCCCCGCCTCGCCTGCCCAGGTGGTCACTGGTTCTGCATCGTGGCTTTCGATCCAGGTGTTTGTCATGCCTCTTATGCTGATGCTGCCACTGGGAAATTAAATTCTTGAGAAACCCCAAGAATTCGATGCATAGGGCACAGAAAGGGTCGGTTTCTGGGAATTGTTTTACAAGTATGAAAACAATAACAGTTACTGAACAGCCACCATGTGCCAGGAAGGAGCTGCATGGGTGACTGTGGCTTCTGGAAGGTGAGGAACTCCCAGGGCTAAACACACACTCATGGGTGGGATCGATGTTTGAGTTGTATGTGTTTATTCATTCGGTACCTTAAGTATTTGCTGAGCACAGATCGTGTGCCAGGTATTGTTTTGGAAAAACATAAACAAGCAAATTACAAATTCTAAAAGCTTTCATTACAATGGGAAGATGCAGCGTAGATGGATGTAAAGAGAAATAAACAGATGATGAAGATAGATAGATAGATAGATAGATAGATAGATAGATAGATAGATAATAGACGCTACAAGCAAATAATTCAGGCATGCAGAGTAATAGGGGCAGCTCTGGGACTCCAACAACACATGAAATAATCCTATCGACTGGCAAATGGGGTTGAAATTGAACAGGTTTAATTTATGAAACAAAGAAGCTTCTGCACAGGCAACAGCCAGAGTGGAGAGACAGACTACACATGGTAGAGAAGCTATCTGCTCATCACACAGGCATTAACATCCAGGGGAAACACATAATTGTAAAAATTAAACACTATCAGGTGTGGTGGCGCATGGAGGGGAGGCAGATAGAGCTCTATGAGTTTGAGACCTGGTCTAATTGTGAGTTCCAAGCTAGACAAGACTGCATAGTGAGACCCTGTCTCAAAATGCGCACATGCGCGTGCTCGCACACACACACACACAAACACACACACCAAAATAAATTTAAAAATCCTCCATATCAATAGATGATCATATTGCTGAACAGACATTTCTCAAAAACAAATGGCCAATAAATATTTGAAGACATGTTCAACATCATTAGCCTCAAGGAAACGCAAATCTGAACTGCTTGGAGAACCTCTCTCACCCTAATCGGAGTGACTATGATCAAGAAAAGAAATGACAGAGAATACTGGCAAGGCTGCAGGGAAGGAGGAAGTCTCCTCCACTGCTCTCATGTGAGTGTGAACTGCAGCTATGGAAATCACTGCAGGTTCTTCAAAAACACAGAAACTGGATCTACCATGTGACCCAGCTGCATCACTGTATTCTCAAAGGGACTCTCTGGCAATACACCACAGAGATCCACGCACACCCACTTTTGTAGCTGCACTCTTCACAGCAGCCAGGAAATGGAACCAGTGATGAGGACAGACATGATGTCAATCAATCACATTGAGGAACTGGGCAAAAGTGAGTAAAATTAGCAACTGTCACACCCCAGTGTGAAAAAATCCAGCCTGTATTTAAAACAGACAAAAAGGCAGCATAAAATGATAAGAACTCCTACAGTCTGCCACGGCTCTTAGCTGAATTATCAACCTGTCAACCTGCCCTACCCAGTTCAGACCCGGCAGTCTTGATAATCACATGACCCAGTTCCTCAAAGTAAATCTAGATGGAAAACAGATGAATAGATTGGTGGTTGATTGACAGACAGATTGGTGACTAGATCTTGTGGATACTGCTTCTCTGGAGACCTCTGCCTAACACTGCTGTTACAAAACTTCATGAAACCAAGGATAACAGCTTTGACCTTTCGTTCTTAGCAGGGAGGTGAGGCCTGATTGGCTGAAAGCTAAGAATATGCTGAAAGTCAATACAGTTGAACCTGTGAAAGCATCGAACTTGGCAAATGAGCAAGAAGTGTCAAGGACAACTCCTTAAGTTTTGACCTGACCGCTTGGGCACCTGGTAATATCATCAACGGTGACAAGAGAGGCTGAGGAGGTAGATAGATTGCTGAGAGGGGGTGGACGGTTAGGTAGACAACCCCAGAAACTGGGGCCATGGAATTCCTTGAAGCTGGATGACACTACCAAAGTAGGTAGCTGTAGGAAGAGGATAGAGGCCCAAGGACGAGTCTGGGGGCCCTGGTGAGTTCTAATATTAGGGCCTAGGAAACTCACCAGATGGGGACAGGGATGTCAGAAAACCTGGAAAGTCCATAGGCCCACAGCCAAGCAGACAACAAACTCTAAGAAATGCTCTTTGGGGAAAATGGGGTGCCACAAAAGTGGGTACCAAGCAGGAAATCAATGTGGGGAAAGGAGCAGCTAAACCTACAGAGGCAAACTGTCCCCCATCCTCATCCGTGTGAGCTTCCACAGGCTGCTATGGCAGTGGCTTCCCAGGTCCATAAAGACAGAAGTGTCCCAATGACTCCAGGTGACGTAAATGAGCTGGTCAGAGTGGCAGTGAGGATTTGCATCTATGGCCAAGTTGGCTTTGATGGATGGTGGGTCATTCATGAAGATATTAGGAGAGGAGGTTGGAAAGTTTGAGTGTTGTCAGGCAGAAGAGGAAGTCATGATTCACTCCCAGGGGATGACGGTGGTGTGCTGAGCCCCAGCTGGAGGAGCCAGTGGCTGGAGAAAGGAAGGCGAGCTCCACCACAGGGCCTTCAAACTCTGAAGACCGACTCCTGTCCCTTGATATAGGGGCAGGGGCCTGAGCTTGTCCCAAAGAAAGAGTGGCAGTCAAGCAGGCTCATGACAATTTCCAACACGGTGGACCAGTCATTTCTCTACAAATCGGCAGCTGAAACCTCAGGTTGTATAGATTATGTGAGGAGACACGGCGGGGAGAACCCAGTGCTTTGGATAGGGTGGCACTGAGTCCAGTCTGCCAAGGCTGGGGGTCACAACTGTCACCACCTCGGGTTTAGAGACAGGGCCTGTCTGCGAGGTCTGCATGGGAGAGAACAGGTGGGGAGGCCATCTTCTGTTGCAGGTGTCCCTGGCATGTGCTGGAATTATCTATCTGGGGACAGGCTCTCCAGGACAATGGCTGATAGTTTTCATGAGCATGGTTAAGTTCTTCATAGTGTTCTTGACTTCAGTGGTGAGAAAACTGAGACTCATCAAGGGTAAGCAAGGTCACGTGGTGTGTAGCTGCCAGAGTCTGGGTGCAAGCCTGGGTCTCCCTACCTCCAAGGCTCATGCTTCTTTTCCTATAGCCACACAGGCCGAGCACAGGTAGGGGTTCTGGATAGAACACCGGCCCGTCCGTTCCTCCTACCCCCCCGCCCAGAGGGAGCATGGGCAGAGTGCCTTGTCATGCCTTGTGTTGCTCATAATCAGGCATTTGAGCTACTGTTATCTGACAGTTGTTAGCATCTTGTGGAGAAGAGAATGTGAGACTCCAAAGACTCCAGAATAAAGGCCGAAGTCTAGATTCAAAGCAAGACATAAGAAACTCCAAAGTTCACTTGAGCCTTTTATCTGTTTCAGTGCAAGATAAGGTGAAGGCTAGGTGTTTTGCAGGATGAAGTGTATCAAAAATGCATGAACAGGACTGGTCTGTAGGAGCACATGATAATGTCCATTTAGCCACCAAATCTGAGAGACGGTAGGTGCCCAGGCAGGCTGTGGTGGATTCAACTCAGGCTGGGGTACTTGCCACGTATCAGTCTGTTCCTGGCCCAGCGCTGCCCCTGCAGGACCACTGTTTAGAGTTGCTGGGCTTGGCCACGGTGATAGCGCCCCAGAGCCTTCACCCTTTCGTCTCTGACCTGACCTTCGCCCATTGGAGAGGTGGTCTGTGAGATTAAAGGATCTGTTATACATGACTCACCCAGGGAATGCAGATAAACTCAAGGGGCTGAGCCCATCATGCCCACAGTCACCTTTGTGGGTGGCTTCTGATAGGCTTGTGTGGTGGGAGAGTAAAGGAAACCTCGGTGAGACATGATGCGACTCCCCAGACACACGCAGCAGCTGCTCCAGAGCTGGCCCTGAGCCCCTGTCACTTTCTATGATATCTGAGTCCCCTCTTTTACACCACGTTGATCTTCTGGCTCCTAAGACATGGGTACAGATATGGGTCACAAGCCAGGATACTGGGGTACAAACGGGAACTGGCAGGCAGAGGGCTGGGCAAGGACTGGTTGAAGGCTGGTCTTTCCACAGGTAGCTCTGGGTTCGGAACAAGATGTGGGACTTGGGTGAAGTTAGTACTGGAAAGCCCTGATGTCATCCTTGGGTGTCCACCTTGCTCTGAGCCATCTGCATGCACCGTTCACTCAAAGAACCAGGGGCTGACCTGGGCTAAAGATGTGGCTGGAGTCACTTTGACCTGGGGCAAATCACTTCACCTGGTGGTGCATTCCTGACTCGTCGTCACTTTCCCCTCCTCCCAGGTGTGGAGGACAGAATGGAAAGTGGCCGAAGGTCTTCCCACAGAATCCTGTTCATGACAAGACCTTGGCAGACCATGTTCCCACACATCTGGATCCCCCATCATCATCATCACCCCCACCCCCTTCCCGGGAACCAACCCTGAATTTGTCAAAGAGCCAGGCTTCTGCCAACCCCACCCCAGTGATACAGTTAATAAGTGACCAGAGCTCTGGACCCTGGCCTATAAGGGGCTGCTGGCCAGGAGGCAGGAGGCAGCCAGGTGGACAGTGGAGGCAGCGGGAACCCAGAGACGTGAGATGAGAGGCAGGGTCATGTCGGGGAGCGACCTGCGGGCTGCCGTGGTCCTGCTGCTGCTGCTGCAGAGTGTGCAGTCCGTCTACATCAAGGTGAGACCCCAGCCAGCCTACCTTTTGCCTGAAGGACCGGGGTTCAGTCCAGCAGCCAGGCTAGACTGAGACACCTGCTATGTGGAGGCTGCAGGAGTGTCCACAGCAACAGTGATAGATGAGAGAAACCTGGTTTCTCAGCTCTGCTAGCCCTTGAAGTCAGCACAGCCCCAGTATAGAAGGAGACGAGGGTCAGCCCTAGAGGGGCAGAGAGGGAAGGAGACCCCTCTTGGGTTCTCTCCCCTGAGCTAACCCATAGGAGTAAGTCACCAGGAGGGTTCCCCTGGCAGGGATTTTTGTGCTCACTGAAGGATGCACAGTGCAAGGCCCGGGTGAACACATTCCAGGCAGAGCAAAGGCCAGAAAAGGGGAACTTGAACTTCAGTGTCCTTCCAGGGACTATAATATGGGTGGGGCACAGAATCGGGCCTGGCTACGGTGTGGCAGGATGCTGCTGGTCTTGCTAAACTTGTGTAACTGTAGTTTGGCATCTGTATCTGGCAAGGTTCCCAGGAGGAGAATAAAAGGGTCTAGGAGGGCTTGAGAGGATCGGGATCACCAAGAGTCACCAGACCAGTGCTGAGAAAGGACCTGTTAGCTGGTCTGCCTGTCTGGTGCTAGGTTCCCACAGGGGAAGGTCAGCTCACATGGGGAAGAGACAGATAGCTAGACGGAAGCAAAGACAGGAGCTGCAAGGGTCTTCCTGTGTCTAATGCTATGGGCTGACCTACAGTGCTCCTTCTGTGAACAGCCTATGACAGAAGGCACCTAAAGCTGTTGGCGGCAGATCGCAAGCTAACCTCCACTTTCTGCCCCATAAACTGCTTTCCCAGTGTGGCTTAAACTCTCCGTGAGCACCGAGAATATCCTGGAGGACCCATGGGATTTTGATGACCTGTCTCATGGCACTGCCTGCTCCTAGTCAGTGCCTGACGACTTCTCACCCCTCCCTTCTCTGCAGTATAATGGCTTCCGAGTGCAGCTGGAATCGGTGAAGAAGCTCAGTGAGCTGGAGAAGCAGCAGGCGTCCGAGTCCCAACCAAACACCAGTAGCCTCCTACCTGCTGTGTGCCATGACCCTGCCTTGCCCCTGGACCTCCAGCCTGTCTGTGCCTCCCAGGAAGCTGCCAGCATCTTCAAGGCCTTGAGTAAGCACACTGTCCCCTGAATCTTCCTGCCCTTCTGCGTGTCCTATCACACCCCTCCACCGTCAGTTATTTTTGTTAAGCAGCCCAGTGGCTATGGACGGGGGGGAGGTCAGGAGGGCCTCCGGGGGCTGGAGGGTCACGGCCCTGCCCTCCACAGAACTGTCCCAGTTTAGGCATATGGAGTCAGGTAGAAAATAATCCCACAGCCCTGAGAAGTCCTTCAAAGACCTCACAAATGTGGGGAGGGAGTCTCAGAAGCCACAAACGTGATTCCATCTGATCCATCTGGTGAGATCAGCTTGGAATGGCTTCCTGGGGAGGACAGCTGAGCTGACATCAGAAAGGTGCAGAAGAGCTGGGCAGCTGCTGCAGTCGCAGGCGTCTGTGTCTCTGCTCTGGGCAGGCCTGAGCCTTTGGCCCAGGGCCCTTCCTACAGCACTCGGGTCAGGTTGCTCAGCCCATGCAGCAGATAAGAAACCTCTGACCAGGAGAGGAAGTACTTTACGAGCCCCTGCCAGGAAGGACAGCACATGAGAGAGGAATCTGACCCCCCTCACTCTGAGTCCAGAGCTTCCTGGTTTCTGTAAGGAAGATATCAGACCCTTTCCCCAGCAGCTCCTGGCTAACAGCATCTGTGACCACTGGCCCCTAGGGTCCGATTTCAACTAACCTACCTTCTTCCTCCACAGGGGCCATCTCCACCGACGAATGTGAGCTGTGTATGAATGTTGCCTGTACCGGCTGTGGCTGAAAGGACCCTGAGTGTCTTAAGCCCACTCCAGATACCTACCCACTCAGCCCACCCCATCCGTACTCAGGCATCATCGGAGTAGTAACCCCCTCCCAGCATAGCTGGATCCAGACAAAGCAATGGGGACACAGGGCTGGCATATTTGACCTCCAGGCAGCTGCACCCGAATAAAGATGCTATCACAAAATTGAGTGTCCCTGTGCTCATTTCTGGACTGTGTGGGGGCATACTGAGAAGCTGGATGGGAAGAAAAGACAGGCAAGACGAGATAGGAACTCCCCACCCATGCTCCCAAGCCCAAGGAACTAACTCATGGCATCCATTTCCCCAGGTGAGGGAGTCCAGAGTAGCCCAGACTCACGGGACCTTCTCCCCTGGACTAATCCAAACCTTTCCAGCCCCAGGGGCAGAGCTCATGACAGAGAGGAGTTGGGCATAGGCAAGGGTATGCTTGGAATGGGGTGTCATCAACTGGTGCCCTTTCCAAGTCCAGGGACAATCAGGAGACTCTTCTCCACAGCCTAGAAGGACTCTACTCTTTACTGAGTGTCCAGTGTGTTCTACACCCCTAGATCTATGCATCTTTCTTCTTTATTGTTTTGTTTGTCTTGTTTTGTTTTCTGAGACAGGGATCCTCTGTGTATCCTTGGTTGTCCAGTAACCCACTATGTAGACCAGGCTGGCCTTGAACTCACAGACCTCTGCCTACCTCTACTCTACCTCCCCAGTGCTGGGATTAAGTGTGTGTCTCCACTACCCAGCCCACACACCTTTCTAAACACTTGGCAGAGATAACTCAGTGAGTCCTCATCAGTCTGAAGAAGTGAGTGACACTGCCATAGCCAGCTCCTTTATTCAAAAAGAAAGTCCCTACAGGGTCACAGACTTGGCAGAGTGACCAAGCAACCTCTTCCCAGGATGCTACACTCCATGCTCTGGTCACCCTGCCATTGTCTCTCATCCTTTGGCTATGGATCATGACGTCAAAGGCAAGGCTCAGTGAGACCATCATACATCTCCCCTGAGTGGTGCGAACACAGCCCCATGTAAGATCAATGGGAAATAGGCCCAAATGGTGTCTCCTCTCCTGGCAGAGCACCTATGGGAACAGACTGACTAGTGCTATGTGGTGGCCTGAACAATATTAGAGGGTAAGAAGTTGGGGCTCAAGGAGCTGAGGCCTTCACTCCAGTCAGCTGATGTGCTGGCAACTCCTGAGAGCGAGGATTCCTCCAGGGCATGTTTGCTGCTTGGCCTTTGTCCTGATCATCTGGGAGGGAGGATAGCTGGTGCAAGGGCCAGCTGAGTCCACAGACAGCCACCCGGCCCTACTGCCCCTTCTGCTCCTCCTCCTCACTCCCTGGCTTGTGCCTCAGGTTTCTGCCTGTGGACCAGCATAGCCCTGCTCTGACTGTGCCCCTTGTCCTGATGTGTGCCACCATGCCACCTCTCAAATATGACCTGAGACCAAACTCATCTGTAGACACTTACCATTTGCCCTTTCAGGGGCTCTGTCCCACCTACTCAGGGGTTATATCCAGGGAACTAGGGAACTGTCACTGGAGAATCACTGCACTGCTGCAAACACACACACACACTCACACACACATATACACACATACACACACACTCACACACACATACACATATACACACGCTCACACACACATATACATACATACACACACACTCACACACACATACACACTCACACACACATACACATACTCTCACACATATATACACACACACTCACACACACACACACATATACACACATACACACACACTCACACACACATATACATACATACACACACTCACACACACATACACATATACACACACATACACACATTCACTCTCACACACATACACACTCACACACACATACACATACTCTCACACACATATACACACACACTCACACACACATATACACACATACACACACACTCACACACACATATACATACATACACACACACTCACATATACATACATACACACACATACACACATTCACTCTCACACATACACACACACTTACACACACATATACATACATACACACACACTCACACACACATACACATACTCACACACATACACATACTCTCACACACATATACACACACACTCACACACACATACACACTTTCACACACATATACACACATACACACTCACACATACACACTCTCACACTCATTCACACACATATACACACACTCACACACTCACTCACACACATACACACACACACACACACTGTACAGTAGGAAGTGTAAACACACCCTGTGTTCCTGGGGCTTTTATCATTCTCCTTCAGGAAGCGGTTAGTTATTCCCACAACATTCATGCCACTATCTCTCCTCCATCCCTTCCCGCTCCTCTTTCCTCTTCCTCCTCCCCTCTCCCTCATGCCCGGGCCCTGGCAGCCACTCTTCTCTCTGCAGGTCTAAGCTGAGTCTTTTTCAGATCCCTGTTCTAAGACAGACTTTGCAGGATTTGTCTGTCCCTGGCTTATTTCATCAATAAAACATACTGGAGTCTCACCTGTGTCACGGGTGACAGGGTTCCCTTGTTTGGGGTTAAGCACTATTTCACTGTGTATATACAATACTTTCTATATCCCAGGCTTTGGCTAATTGAGGCAATGCAGACAGCTTGACAGTGTATGGCTTTAATGTCCTGTGGCTATGGAGCCAATGGTAGTTCTCATTTTACAGGAGGGAGGACCTCTATACTGCTTTATCCATAAATAGTCATTCTTTTTGTTTGTCTTTCTTTTTGTTTGTTTGCTTGTTTTTTGGTGGTGATTTTTTATTTTTGTATTTTTCTCACATATATTATATCCTGACTGCAGTCTCCCTCCCTTCCCCTCCCCCAGCCTCTCCCACCTCCCCTGTCCCCCAGATCCACACTCCTGTCCCTGCTCCTGTCTCCCCTTGGAAAAGAGCAGGCCTCCCAGGGACATCAACCAAACATGGCATAAAATGCTACAATAAGACCAGGCACACACCATCATATCATGGCTGGATGAGGTGACCCAATAGGAGGAAAAGGGTCCCACCAGCAGGCAAAGGAGTCAGAGACAACTCCCATTTCCACTATTAGAAGTCCCACAAAAAACACCAAGCTCCTCAGCCATAACATATATGTAGAAGATATAGACCCCCACAGGCTTCCTGATCTCAGAGAGCCTGGGGTCAGCTGATTTGTGGGCCATATTCTCATGGTGTCCCTGTTCCCTCTGGCTACTCTGATCCCCCCACCTCCTCTGCAGTACTTCACAAGCTCCCCATAATGTTTGGCTGTGGATGAAGTCTCTCTGGTCTCTCCGACGATTATCCTGCTAGTCACCAGTCTCAGAACACTTCTGCAGGTAGGACTAACTGTCAAAGGTTTTGTGACTGAGTTGGTGTTCCAATCTTTCCACTTGAGGCCTTGCCTGGTTACAGAAGGTGGTCAATTCAGGCTCTGTATCCCCCATTACTGGGAGTCTTTGCTGGGGTTACCCTTTAGAGTAACCCTAGATTTTTGCTAGATTCCATGGAGTTTCCATTGAACTAGGATTCCACCTTGCACCCCAAATATCCTCTAATTCCAGTTGTTTCTCCCAGTATTTTCTCTTCTTCCACTACTTGACTCCCTCCTGTTCCCAACTCCACTTGCCCCCAGTCCACTCTTGAAATCTATTCTATTTCACATTCCCAGGGAGATTCTTACACGCACTCTCCTTAGTCCCTTCTTGTTGCTTAGCCTCTCTGGGTCTGTGGAACATAGCATGATGCCTTTTACTTTACAGCTAATATCCACTTACAAGTGAGTACATAACCATGTTTGTCTTTCTAGGTCTGGGTTACCTCACTCACGGGATGATTTTTTTCAAGTTCAATTCCATTTGCCTGCAAATTTCATGATATCATTATTTTTAACAGCTGGATAATACTCTTTTGTGTAAATGCACCACATTTACTTTATCCATCTTCGTTGAGGGAGATCTAAGTTGTTTCCAGCTTCTGGCTATTAAGAGCAAAGCTGATATGAACATAGTTGAGCAAGTGTCCTTGTGGTAGGATGGAGTGCCTTTTGGTTATATGCTCAGGAGTCTAGCTGGGTCAAGGTAGATCAATTCCAAATTTCTGAGAAGCTGACATATTGGTTTCCAAAGTGTACAAGTTGGCATTCCCACAGTGTGGTGGAGGAGTGTTCCCCTTGCTCCACATCTTCTCCAGCATGAGCTATCACTTGAGAGATGTAAGATGAAATCTCAAAGTTGTTTTGATTTGCATTTCCCTGGTGTCTAAAGATGTTGAGCATTTCTTTAATTGTTTCTCAGCTATTTTGGTTTCCTCTGTTGAGGTCTGTACCCCATTTTTAAATTGGATTATTTAGTTTGTTTGTGTCTCATTTCTTGAGTTCTTTATGTATTTTGGGTATTAAACCTCTTTCAGATGTGGAATTGGTGAAAACCTTTTTCCATTCTGTAGGCTGCCATTTATCCTATTGATGGTGTCCTTTGCCTTACAGAAGCTTTTCAGTTTCATGGGTTCCTGTTTATTAATTGTTGATCTTAGTGTTGTGTTATGGGTGTTCTGTTCAGGAAGTTGTCTCCTGTACCAATGCATTCAAGGCTATTCCCTACTTTCTCTTCTATCAGATTCAGTGTATCTGGTTTTATGTTGAGGTCATTGATTCATCTGGACTTGAATTTTGTGCAGAGTGATAGATATGGATCTATTTGCATTCTTCTACATGCTGGCATCCAGTTATACCAGTGCTATTTGTTGAAGATGCTTTCTTTTTTCATTTGTATATTTCTAGCTTCTTTATTGAAAATCAGGTGTTCATAAATGTGTGGATTTTTGTCTGGATCTTTGATTCAATTCTATTGATCAACATGATCATTTTATGGAGTTTTTATTGCTACAACTCTGTAATACTGATTGAAACCTCTGGAAGTTCTTTTATTGTATAGGGTTATTTTAGGTATCCTGGGTTTTTTGTTTTTTCATATGGAGTTGAGTGTTGTAATTTCAAGACCTGTAAAGAATTGTGCTGAAATTTTGATGAGGATTGTGTTGAATCTGTAGATTGCTTTTGGTAGAGTGGCCATTTTTACTATGTTAATCCTATCAATCCATGAACATGGGAGATATTTCCATCTTCTGATATCTTCTT